ACACCCATCTCCGTCTATTGTGCTTTCCGTACCGCTCAAGTATGCCTCCGTGTATGCTCACTTTAGCTCATAGCGTTGAACGCCCTCACCATCTCACCATCTCAAGCGTTGATCGCAAGGATCATTTCCGTCAACTATGCCCGCTGAACGTTCGCATCGAGCTCGATCGTCCCTGCTGGTTGGTGGCGCGGCTCGAACCACCCGCCGCGGTCGCATCACCTCTTCTGACGGTGACGTTACGGCATCTTACAGAGCAAGGGGCAGCCCTCCGATTACGCGACATCGCCCACGTACTCGGGCCTTCACGGCTCGCAGCCCGTCGATCGTCATGACTTGCGAGGATGATCTCCGCCCTGGCGTGGTGGCTGGCCCTTGTTCCGGCGACGCGGTATGCGATACGCCACCACGCGACCTTGCCTTGACTGACCGCCAGGGTGGGATCAAGGAGACTGCGGGTTCCTGCTCCCAAGAAGCTGTGGTCGCTACCAAAATTGTGGACTTCTGCTCCGCGGCAGCTACGGTCTCCACTGTAATCACGGAAACCACGGTTGAACGCTCCAGTCTACCTGCTCGCGACATTTGCGCGGTAAGGGCCCTCGCCCACGCTTCCCTGTGGCTTCGTGCTCGTCTGCTGACATGTTTCCAGTCGCCGTCGTTCCGTCTTGCTGACTATGAGGACAGGAGCGCCCTGCTCGAGGTAGCCAAGGACGAAGCCGTTGAGGCCAGGAAAGCGGCGGCCGCTGCGCAGGAGGAGAGTGTCCAGGCTCAGGAACGCGCTGACGTTGCGCGAAAGGCGTTGCTACAAGCACGGGGCGAGCTGACGCAGGCCCGTCAGCACCTGCAGCCCCTCGTACAGACACTATCCCAGATTGAGGAAGACCTGCAGTGCCAAATATGCATGCAAATCATCAGATATCCCGTCACGTAGGTCCTGCAACATCTTGAATGAATTCACGAGCTCATATCTTCTTCAGCCTCGAGTGCGGCCATAGCTTCTGTCGGAGCTGCATCGCCGCGTGGTTCGACGAACTCCTTGCGAGGTATCGCAGGATTCGCGGTCTACCTATCTACGAACCAGCACGAATCCGTCGCCTTCAGGCATTCGATAATTTTGCCATTCCGGAAAGTCTGCAACATGTAGCTGATGACATCGGAGTCGATATGTTACTCTCCCCAGTGCTCCGGATTGTCTTGTCCACGCTATTGCATGTTCGTTCGATGCCAGAATACAGCTGTCCCTCATGTCGTCAACCAGTGAGCTAATATTGTACTCATACCATGACATTACTAACGTATCTAACTCGCAGGTCACGATGCAGCCTAACTTGAACCATGCTGTGGCTAGGGTCATTACGCGTTTTGCCTCCGGGCGATGCGATACTCAGGAGAGCCCTTGGCATGATCCAGGTACGGATGTACTCCGTAATTTCTTCCCTGAGCCTTTGAGACTTTATGAAGCCATATGAACCGAGCCCTGCACTAGTGTGACCCAGATTGACTGGCTTGTATTTATGCATAAGAAACATATGCAACTCATCATCCTAATACTGACCATCGCACTTGTATCTCCGAAGTGACCGAACAAAAAAATGATTTCTTTCCATCGCCACATCGGTGGCTGCGGGCGAACGTCATGTCAAAAATTGTGAACAACCACGAGTTGCGAGCCGTGACTACATGTGTACGGGGACGGTGTCGGGTAAACGGAAATTCGCCCTTCGCTCTGTATGGTGCCGAAAAGTTGCGACTCGCCGCAGGAGAACGTAACGCGACCGCGGAGAGTGGTTTGAGCCGAACCAGTAAAAGGCATCGTGCTCGACTCAACCGATCAACGGGCTTAGTCGATGGAGATCAAAGTTCGTACGATGAACGCTCGAAAGGGATGGGATGATGAGAGCGTTAAAGACGATAAGGCAAAGTAAAAGTACACAGAAGCATATTTGAGCAATACCGAGTGCGACGAATATCATGAGCCACATCCGAGGACAAAAAGACATCTTAGGCTCACCGTCCATTCGTTGCCCGTGCGACGGCGCCACAGTCCCACAATATTGGGCGAGGACAGAACCGTCACCGTACATACAGTCACAATAGCGTGTGAATATTCGGTGGAGGGCCCTGCGTAATGCATGGTCACATCGCAAATATGTCACATGGCCAATTCAGGACCGCGG